GGCATGTGGTGCTGGGGGATTGAACCGCGGTCCCTGATGCTTTTGCTAAGCTTGTTCTAAGTAGGTGCTTTAGACCACTGAGCCATCTCTCCAGCCCCATTGATGTTCTTTAAAAGCACACAAGTTCATGGAGAAGACACCCAGGCCAGATGGTTGAGTTCTCTGCCCCCTCCTGACAAGGCCAGGATTGAGCTGATAGTGCTGTCTGTTCTCAGCTTTCATTTTTATCATTTGAAGGAAACATAAACCAAGGAGCAGAACTCAATCTGGAAGAACAGGGATGGCTCTCCCACAGGAACTGACATTTAAACGAAGCTTAAAATTTAAAAGACCTTCTGTTGTCACGGTCCCAGGAGTTCATTTAGCCTTTTCTTCTGTTTTCTTCCACTCACAACATTATTAATTTTCTACAAATTAACTATGCTTAAAACGCAAGAGTCACAGCTGACAACCACTCCCAGTTTGCTCTCAGTGTGGGACTATCCCCGGCTGTGGCGTGTCTCTGGATATTATCTGTGTAAAGTGGTTGCAAGAAAATCATACCAGTTCAGTTTAAGAAGTAAAATATATGATGGACAATGCAAGTTTTAAAATGGAACCTGAAAGTGCTAAAGACAGCACAAGAATGTCAAACAGGAGAAGGGCCGGCAGGATAGCTCAGCGGACTAAAGCACCTGCTTAGGCAGATGCAGGCACTGGGGTACAATCTCCAGAGTATGCTAGACAGTGACCAAGTCTGGGCGCAGTGGCTCAAGTCTGTAATCTCCATTCTTGGGAGGCTGAAAACAGGAGGATCACTATGAGTCAGAGCTGTGTAGAGACCCTGTACTAAGCACACACACACACACACACACACACACACACACACACGCAAAAGAATGTCAAACAGTAAATAAAAGTATTTAATATCTCTCTCAAAATTGTTTGCGATATAGGGAAAAGATATTAAAAAACAAAAGGAGAGAAAAGGTGAGAAAGGAAAATCATCCCTTTTCTTCCTTATTTCAAAATGTCTTGGTATAAATGAGAAATAGAACATTAGCCAACTGCCAAATTCATGAATTCTCCAGGAAAACAATTGACCGAAAGTCTTGGAATCTCATGGAATTCCACATCTTCCAAAGGCCTTAAGAGAACTGGATAAAGGGGGCAGAGGGAAAAAAAGAGAGAGAGAGACTGGATAAGGGTAAAACTTGGAGTCAAGGAATATTACCCATGCTCTCAGGATGAACAATAGATGATTTAAATGAATCTGTCAGCTGTCACAGAACAAAAGCGTCCCTCCAAAATTGACTCCTTTTTCCTGCAGCAAAGAGTGTACTCTGCAGAATATTAACTTTCCACACAAATTAAATGCAGGCATCCATTAGGGAGAAGGTGGAGGATCATGCCCTGACTAATGTAGGACATTTCTTACTACTCACAGCTTACTTGAATTCCCAGTGGTATTGGGAATCGCTAAATTTGAGAAATACCTCTCTCTCTTTAAAAATAGAATTTCTGTTTACATGATATTGGTTATTGATATTGTAAATGAATTAAGTAGCTTTTAAACAGTTTTAATTTGTAATATGACAAATATTTGCTTTTTGGGTTTTTTTTTTGTTTGTTTTTGTTTTTGTTTTGTTTTTGTATTTTTAGGAAAGTGTTTACAGGGTGTTCAGGGTCTCACTACTAGATCAGACTCATAGTGATCCACCTGTTTACAACCTCCCAAGAGCTGGAATTACAGGCACGGGCTACCACACCTAGCCTCAATTGCCATCTCAGCATGCCCCAGGGGATGGGGCCGGCACAGCAGACCTGAGGATCGAACTCCCAGCCCCTGCGCCTGCTTGCAGGCACTTTAATCCACTGAGCCATTTGGCCTGCCCTATGACAAATATTTGTAAGGGCTGAGAAGATAGCTCAGTGGCATAAGCACCTGCCTGGCAAGTGCAGGTCTTGAATTTGACCCCTAGTACTGAAAAAAAAAAGTTTAGACAAATATATATAAACATAAAACATAATCCACAAAGACATAACTACTTTGAATTCTTCATTAATTTCATTTTTTATCTTTTTATTAGAAAGTGTCTACAATGCATAGCAATTGCATTTACTTTATGTTGGAGAATATATATTATCTAGATAATTTTCACTGTCTTCCTTCCCGCGGCCTTCTCCCTCCTTCCCCAGATCAGCGGGTAAACTATATTAATTATAATAAAACATGATAGATACATTATTTTGGGTTTTCTGGTCATCAAGAGATGGTACTTATTCACATACACCTCAGGCAGAGTTTTGTTTTGGTAGCTTTTAGTAACATGATTTAATTCAATTTTGACACATACCTATTAGGGATAGCTATTGGTCAGGCATCACCTTAGAAGCCTTCAAACCAACACCCAGCAATGATTTTGGAGGATAAATATTAATAACCACGATGTCTTGAAGAATAGTTCGTAGAGAGTCATGTCATCCACTGAAATTAGCAAAGCAAAGTCCTAGTAATGGGGAGAAGTCCAAAATATGAAAAGACACAGGGAATCTCACCTCTGACCTAGGGACAACCCTGAAAGCACATTTAGCACAGATGCGGAGATACTGCAAAGTAGTTCAAGATTCAAACATGCAAGTCTGCATAGTAGATTTCTTTCGTACATAGAGAATCTGAACGTAGCCTGAATGCAAATCAATTTCAGACGCACTTACAGCAATGTCTGCATAATTACAGGGTGCCAAATCTAGTGCACAGCCTCTAAGAACAAGCAGGAAAATTCAAGGGCTAATTATGCTTCAGGATGTATAAGGACACAAAGGGCCCAGCGAACTAATCCCTTCCCACTAAAATATGCAGTAATGGGTGTCAGGAAGCTAAAACACTCTTAGATTTTCTCTTGCTAAATATTTGCCAACATGTCTTATACAACTAGACGTATTTTAGACGCTCGTAAATTCCGCTAATTAAAAATGATGCAAGCGAGTTATGAAAGCAGTGTTAGTAACAGGGGGACAGAAGAAATCAGTGCTACGTTGAGTCAGGACTCTCTGAAGTTTCTGTTTCCTTTATTTGCAGTGCTCTATTTTGCATATATAAAAGCAACTGAGCTCAATATTTCCGTACTTATTTTGCTTTCGCTTAGAAAAAAAAAGATGCAGACATTCATTCTGGCTGCTTTATTGTGATGCATAGTTAGCAACATGTTAGGTACTATTAATTGCTATTTGACATACCACACATACAGAAACAGTGAAGCAGGCTCAAGACTCTCGCCTGCTCTGGAGAACAGAGGAACTCGACGGTAACCTGCCAAAGGAGTAATTCTAGTTAGAACAATCAAAGCAACTAACCAGTGATGGCCCCAACAGTGCTACTGAGAAAGAGGTAGATTTACCAAAAAATGACTATAGGGTTTTGTTTTCCTCCTGGCTATTGGCTTGCCACAAAAAATTAAGCACTTGCAATTTCTATTCTGACTTGGCAGCATTCTGTATCCCAACCCTGAGCACGTTGTTCATGTTTCACCTTCCATTGAGTATAGCCGACTCCAACAGTAGCCACAGCCCTCCTGCTTCAAGAAGAGCCTGTTTCCTACACAAACCTCCTCAGGTGGTATTGGAAAAGCAAGCATAAGTAGATAAGGTATTGGGGGAAGCCACAGCATAAATCGCCCAAGAAATGTGACTGTACAATTTGATGGCAGTCCTGGAAAGGGTCAGGAAAGGAGTCTCTGGCTTCTGGTCTCTTTTCGTCAGGCAGAGAAAATGAATCACTGCTTCTCTCTTCTGTCTGATCCTGGACCTAAATTTCTTTTGGTAGTCATGGCTACTCTTCATTGAAATAAAAGAACTTTGACCCAGGTAAAGAAACACTTATACATGCCAAGTTGGTCTAATTAATGCCCTAGTGAGCCCACATCCTCACCCCCTCTTCCAGAGACTCTGTTCCTGACCCTTTCCAGGGCTGCCATCAAGTTGCAGAATCACATTTCTTGGGATTTACACTGTGGCTGCCCCCATTATCTTGTCTCCCTGTGCTTGCTTTTCCAACACCACCTGAGGCGGTTGGCCTAGGAAACAGACTCTTCTTGAAGCAGGAGGGCGGTGGCTACTATTGGAAGAAGGCAAAACTGTAATGATAAGATTATTGGATATGTACTATGCCTGGGCAATGTTCTAAAGATTTTATATCATCTTCTTTATTTTTCGCAACAACCTTATCAAGGTTGTTATTATATCTGTCCGCAGATGAGAAAACTGAGGCACAAAAATATTTCATAACTTCCTACAGTTTCCCAATACATAGCCATTAAGTGCCCGAGCAGAAGTCCAATTTTAGAGCAGAAATACTTAATTATTATGAACATAATTGATATGCCTGGACATTCCCTTGATTCCCTCTTCCACATGAGAACAAGTTTCTGTGAATGCCCTGAAAGAAAATGGGTATAATACATAAAATGATCTTTATATCTTGCTTCTGTGGGTAGAGGTATTTAGGTTATCAAAATGTGCCTTTGACAAAAACAAATTTTATTTGATGTTAAAACTATCTACTTACTTTGAAGAAAATTACCTTTGTTCATGCACAGAACTGGTAAAGTATATTGCCCAAGAAATTCATTTCCTGCTATTAAACCTGAATTTTCAACAACAAAACGCAGCAAAGCCAGTTCTGGAACTTGGATAATAAATGTGAATGTTTCATTCCATCTTGGACTAAAAGCTGAAATATAAAGCAATGAATAAAAAAAATAGACTATTTCTAAGGGAAAAAAATAAGTACTAATCACTCTACACTTTTTCTTCAAAACTTTAGTAATAGTCATAGTGGTGGCTTGTGATTTAAAACCTTTAAATGTTTAAGGGCTGGGGAAATAGCTCAGTGACATATGCACCTGCCTGGCAAACGCATGGGCCTGAGTTCAATCCTCAGTACCAGAAAAAAATAAATAAATATAGTAAAATAAAATAAAACATTTAAATTTTTAATGCATTCAGTGAGAGGAATAAGCTGTAATGATAATAACAATATTGGACATGCACTATTTCTGGGCAATGTTCTGAAGATTTTATATCATCTATTTATTTTTCACAACCACCTCATCAGAGTTGTTATACCTCCCTCTACAGATGAGAAAACTGAGGCACAAAAAGATTACATAACTTCCCAAGGCTTCCCAATACACAGCCATTAGGTGCCAGAGCTGAAGTCTAATTGTAGAGCACAAATGTTTAATCATCATGGAATATAACTGATATGCCTGGATATTCCCTTAATAAAGAAGTTAAAACTTGAAGAAGTTAAGTAACACCATTTTTCAATACCAGCTCTTACTACAGGGAAAGCTCCGTAAATAGTTTTTGGACTAACAACTCAATGAGTGCTCTTTTAAAATCTTCTTTGAGCTAAGTGATTATTTCAAAGTCCAGAGTCACTGAGTAATTCTAGTCTGTAGTACAATAAATCATCCCAAACAGCCAATCCTTTGCCAAAGCAAGAAATTTTAATTGTTTCACAATATGACTCATATTGTCCAAAACCTAAACATAATTAATAGAATCAAAATATTCATATTCAAATCAAATATCCTCTCTGTTTAATAAAGGCACAATGATTTGGAGAGAAATGTATCACGTTTAGATATAAAGCCTTGTTATAACAATAGTTCTTGTTCCTTTTGGAAGGAATTTGCAAATGATTTTACTAATGTGTAAAATGTGCCCCTCTGGTCACAAGGTCCCATTACCAAATGGCAATCCAGGATGTAGTCTATGTCCATGGAAACAGTAAATTAATTGGCTCATGCTGGATTGATAACTGCATTAACCTAAGATGAGATGTACATCCATAGGGCCAAGGATAGATCTAGAATCAAGTCCTTAATAGACACCGCAGACTAGCCAGAGGGAATTGTTGTACGGATTTGTCCTCTTCTAAACATACTGCACTGCAAATTACCGTTTCTACCTCTCTTCCTTTTACATTATTTCTGTATCTATATAAATCCATGTCTCCACCTCTCTGTCTTTGTCTCTATCTCTCAGACACACACACACACACACACACACACACGTGTGTGTGTGTGTGTGTGTGTTACAGAAGAGCATCATAAAAATGAAAGTTGATAAGGTGATAAATATAGTTTTAGAGACAAGACCACAGCTGAAGAATTACCTCACACCTTATCCAAATATGATCCTTTTCCTCCCAGGGTTTTATCTTTAATTACACGACCATTATCTTAGTAGCCAAGCTCTCTTACCATTTCCTTGTCCACCTACACCAGCACTTACTTCTGCCTAGTGTTGTTCACACACACACACACACACACACACACACACACCTTGTTTCCTTTTCTAACATCACAGCCTTCTTCACCACCTGACTTCTACCTCTTTTCACCACTGAATTCATAGCCTGACCCAATTTAGCATTTTTCTTTTCCTCTTCTACATACTACCGTACCTGCAGCCATAAACCCACTGAAGCATGACTCTATTCTAACTTTACATTCCTATTCAAAAGTCTTAACTCTGTCCATTTTCTAGAGGAAAGAAGAGGCTTAACTCTGTCCTCAAGAGGTGACCACGGCTTCCATAATTTTCTGTAACTTTCCTAACGCAGCTTCCCATCCCATTTTGTCTCTCACTAACCTCCCTTCAGCATCTTGCCTCACAGTCACACTGAGAATCTTGGATTTCTCTTAACATGTTTGGATTGTTTTAAGCCCCATAATACTCATTCTGCTTAAATACTCTTGTTCCAGTCTATAAAAAAGATTCTATTCATTTTTTCCGGAACCATCTCCAAATGTGCTTTTTCCACTACAGTTTTTTGTATTCTCCTTGAAGCACCAGTGAGCTACATCATCATAGTCTTCCCTGTATCTCATCTCTCACATTGAATGATAAAATACCTATAATGAGATTAATTGGGATATACATAATAAAACATTCAATAAAAAGAGGTTTAAGTCTTTTTATGCTTTTTCAGCATGTAAGACTTTTACGTAGCAAGAAGTCAGTTTTGATGTACCAAAGTGAATTTCTCCAGATGCCATTAAAACCCAAGGATATAATCAAAATTCTAGAATCATATTATTGCAAGAGATGTGTTGAATAAATTAAGTTCTTTGCATGTAGCTATGAAGAGTCAAGCAGAGGACAAGGAGAACAACAATAGGTGACTCAGCTCTCTGACGCAGCAGTGACTATTTCCTGACACTGCTCTTGGGATGGGACTTCAACTCCAAAGTGTGCCAAATTAGACCGTAATTCATCGCCAATGTTCCTGTCTATTGCTGACATGGAATGAAGCAGCCACACCTTCCAAATCCTTTTTCTAAGGCTTTTGCACAAGAGGCTGTGCTGGAGGAAAATTTGGAAGAGTATAAGGGAAGCAAACTGATGAATTATCATCATGAATTATCATCCCGGATGAAAAGGACTAATAAAGCTTCCCTGGGTGCTCTGCCAGTGCTGTAGAGCCAGCAGCTTATTTCTGGACTCAGAAATGCCATCCACTACACTTTGGCATCCTCCATTCAAAGAAGATTCCAGACTCACGGCTCAGTTCCAAGGTCTCGTCTGAGGAACCTGAAGAGGTCATCGCAGAAGCCTACCCTTCTCTGCGTTTCCTTTGGGAACTGAACTTCACAGAAGAGACTGCAAGGCCAAGATTGTATTACATGGACTGTCATAGCCTGTTGGAATGCTGAAAAGCTTGCTACAGTTATTTCTTCCGCTCCTGCATTTCCTTTTTAGCAAAAAGGACTGAATTAAAAATCCAATGTTGCAAAAGTAGGTTTCTATAATATCCTTAGCCTGAGTCAAGCCACAGGCCTTTGATCTGAAATAATTTGAATGACGAGGTAAAACTGTGTAACATGCCCTGTCAGAACAATCCTGAGTGTTTTGCTTAAGTCAAAGGCTAGAAGCTAAGTAAACTTGCAGCTGTCAAAAAGTCTCTATGTAAAATGAGAGAAAAACCTTAAAAATCAGTAAAAGTAAAGGCTAATAGTTTTGTGCAAGCAAGATAAGTTTTTGTATCTGTGATCTGAAAACATACCTAAACAATCTCATTATCAGACATTTTGCTGCAGGTAATTTTGTCAGTCTCAAACATAATGGAAAAACTATTGCCTTATGAATAATAAATGTGCATCAAGACTCTCTCAGCATGCAATCCGTATGCCTTCCAAAACAGAGGCTCATAGAAGTTTTGTAAAATGTATCACAAGCTCACCATTTTTCTTAATTACACGAGTCTGCTGTTTCGTATGATCGTTGGGAACACCAAAGACTTCTAGAATCACCAATGTGTCCAGTTTGTTAGAAGAGGAGCCACTGAGAGGCAGTTGGAAGCCACTGATGAGCTGTGCAAGTACAGATGGGACAAGAGGTTAGCTGCGAGTTAGGCTGCGTCGCCGACGTATTTCAAAACAAAATCATAGATGCCAAACACTGGACAGACTCGAAGTTCCTACAAATATGAAGCAGGAAAATAATACCAATTTAAACCTTTTTTTTAACCTGTAAACATCAGCAAATAAATGTCAAAGACAAGTCCTAATCATTTCATTTTATTGAAACGTGCCTATGAAGAAATCCACAAAATCTAAAACTGATGATCCATTATCCTATTCTTATTTTAAAAACATCTGTTACAATCATATTTACTGTAATTCAGGCTGAATAACTCTGAGAACATGCACTTTTTATATTTACATTATATACACTAAAATATTGAAAGTGATATAACTTCTCAAATATAAGAACTGCACCATATAATTTTCATGATATTTGATAACCGTTGCTTTTGAGTAATTTATGAAAATTTGAATTATCCCTTCATATCTGTATTACCGTACAAGTGGCATGAATATGGAAAAAATCAACTATCTCCCATATATACTAAAAACCAGTCATCAAAAGAATGTTTCACACAATAATTAATAATGGTTTTATCTAGATAACTTTATTATCTAAAAAGCATACAAAATAGTAAAGAGAAACATTGGAAATGACAGCGAACTTCACCAAACAAGACAATAGAAATTCGGTACTAGTTGCTGTATTACATAATGCTGCCTTCAAATTAGTTGTTCAGATTATCAGATGTAAGCATGTGAAATTGGTAGAAACAAAATAGAGAAAAAAGTTATAAGAAATTAAAAAGGATAAAGAAAATAATCTAAGTTTCAGCTACTCCCTTCTGTAGACCAGGACAAACCAGCAATGCAATTATTCTACCCATCCTGGATACATACAAGAAGATACATCCTCCCCCTACTCCTGTACTTTCCTTCGTCCCAGCTTTTCCTTCCCTTTGAACAGATTCTTTCCCTTTCACAGTATATCTATTGTTCCTTTCAGATTTTATTTACTCTTTCATGTTCTTACACTAGGGAGACAATAAAATGTTTGCACATTCAGGTGTGATTTATTTAACTTACAAATATGGGCTCTAGTTGAATCAATTTACCTATAAAAGCCTCAGATTTGTTACCTAGACAATTATAATGCCTATGTTTTTTTATGAGCGGAATATATTTATTGAAGGAAGGAAAGCTCCTGTCTGAGAGAGGCACAGGAGGGGGGCCCAAGTGGGTGGCTCCCTAATGCCTATATATTGAAGCAAAAATTTCTCCTACTTTTAAAAAGAAAATGAACACATAAAAAGTATGACACGTACATGTTTAGAGTAAGAAGTGAAAGTTATAAGCCTAAAAATGCACTTATAGAAACTGAGACATAATTTTAATTTCTGAAAATTATATAAAAAGGAATAAAATAATATGTATTAAAAAGAGAGATGGAAGGAGAAATGTAGAGTGAAAATAGAAATGAAGGCAAGAAAGAGAGAAAATAGACATTAAGAAAATGACTAACTGAAGGCCGGCGAGATAGCTCAGCAAACTAAGTGCCTGCTTAGGCAAGTGCAGGACCAGGGTTTGATCCCTGGCACCACATGCCATGCTGGCTCTGCCCCTGGGTGCATTGAGCTGACCACAGAGACTGGACATGGTGGTGTACACCTGAAATCCCTGTGCTGGGGAGGCTGAAAACAGGAGGATTACTATGAGTCCAGGCTGTGCAGTGAGCCCCTGCACCAAATATATTTTTAAAAAGGAGAAAATGAATAACTGGGAATATGTAACTTTTCCTTTCTTTAATCCACATATTGGCTAGAAATCAGAGTGACTTCATAAATTTATTTTTCTCTTTATAAATATAGCAGCACATAATTATAATGATCATCAAAGTTGGTACTTGTACATAACGCATCTTAATTCTTTACCTCTCCTTCTCCTTTCCATTCGCTCCCTCCATCTTTATATTCAGTTAGCATCATTCAGTCAGCATAGTTAGATATGAGGATATTTAGAAAGAACACTAGTCATACACATTTAGTGTACTAAATACCAGTGTACACCAGCAAATAACTGAAACTTTAAAGCAGGATGTGGTTCAGCTTTGTCATGTTTCTCAGTAAGGAGAAGAAAGAAGAAGAATAGAAATAGGAGGAGAAGGAAGAAAAGAAGAAGAAGGATGAGGAGGAGGAGGAGGAAAGAGAGGGAGGAGGAGGAAAGAGAGGGAGGAGGAGGGGTGGGAAGGTGGAGGGGAGAAGGGAAGGGAGAATTTGGAGAATATTGATTATGTAATTTTCCAACTCCAATTTACAAATCCGTTACCAAAATCCCCATGCAGGAAAGACCAGCAAAAAGAAAGCCTAGTGGTCAGAGTAGTTTTTCTTTCATCCCTTACACATTAGATTCTGAATTTAGAGTCTTGTGGCATGGTTTTTATAAGCTTGAAAAGAACTAAACCAATTCTTTTCAAATGACAGGGAAAAACAATGGTGACTGCCTTCATCAGGGATATAGGAAGCTAATAGTACAATTAGACTTCCTCATTCCCAAATTATGCACTCAAACTACTTTCAAGCTATGAAGTAATCACAGAGGTCCTTAGAATATTAGAGAAAAAGAACCACATGGCCAATCAGACGTTCCTTGAGAAAACCATTTAGTCCACCTGTTCCACTCCATACCCGTTATACCTACACGGGAACCCCCAAGATAAAGCACGTGGAGTTTGTAAGCATCCATGTGCACAAACTACCTCCCAACTTCCCCTTCCAATGAAGGAGCACCTGTGATCTCTTTACCTTCTATTTTCAACACAAAAAGGAAATCATTCACCCAATTAATCTACATGTGGATTGAATAAAACTCACTTCTTATCCTTAAAGAGCCCTCAGATAAATGGAGAATAAGGGCAAGTTACAAGTAAGTAAGTGATTACAATGCAGTGTGATACATGATTACAATACAGTGTGATATAATTTATGCACTGGTTGTCATGGAAAAACAGGAAGACTACAAAAAAGTAGAACAACTTACCCAGTTAAGGAAAAGATGGCATTCCTAGGCCTGGAAAGGTGAGTCAGAATGCAGCAGAGAGATGCGGGATGGACAAAAAGTCCAGTTAGAAAGAAAAGCACAGGAATTCATGGGAGTAAATCATAAGACAGGGAAGGCTTAGCTCCACAGGGTCATAGGAAGGGGTTAAAGTTGGAAATGGCAAAATGCAGACAGAGAG